GGGGGGGGGGGGGCTGTGGGGAGAGGTGGCTGGTGGCACAGGATGGGTGAAAGAGTTAAATCCATACCTTCCTGGTTGGAAGTCAATGGACACAGCCCAACAGTAAAGATTCAAGAACTAGCTAAGTAACCTGTCACTTAGAAATACGAAGCTAAGTACCAAACTGTGCCCCTTAACAGCGCTGGGAGTTGTTGGCTCTGGGGAGGGGACATGAGGATGGTGGCCTCAGAGAGCTCTGACTCCTGCTGAAGCATGTGTGTAACTTGGGTAGAATAAAAGCGAAAGTTGAGGAATGGTGATTGTGCTGCTGAGACACATCAGAGAAGGTTACGCATTTAAGCTGCTGCTGCTTTTTTGAGGGGCTGACTCGAGCCTGTTCTAACGCAGCTGGGCCGAAGAAAGAGAAGAAGCTATTTCAATGTCAGAAGTGTGTTTGGACAGAGAAAGGGAAAGGAAAGCCACGCGCCCACTCGTTTTTCGGCCGGGGACAAACACGGTCAACTGGTGAGAGCAAACCTGCCCAGCAGCTCGGTCAGCTCCCCCTCCTGGAGAGGACAGCCGCAGTCCTGCAGCGCGCCCTGCACCTGCCACAGCGACAGGGAGCCCCTTCCGCCCTCGTCCAGCTCGGCCAGCGCCTTCCTGATCTCTTCGTAACAGTCCTTAAGCTTGTCCCTGAAAGAGAACACGTTAGACACATGAAAATCAGGAAGACAAGCCATTTCCTTACAGCAAGAGTCTCATGATGATCCCAATGCGCGGATCTGACGATGGTTCCTCAGGAACTGACTTTGAAGATGTTTTGCAGCCGCAGCGCTACACCCACACCGAGAGGTATTCTGAAAAACCTGTAAGTCTGCATCGTTATCATTTTATTGACATTATCGTTAGCAAAACCGAGTTAGGGAAATTACAGCCTTGTCTTGTTACTAGAATCGGTACTTTAAGAATGGGACCAAGGATGAAAAGTACAGTGGTTTTATCACAGATGTGATTGTCTCCCCAAGAGGACTCGCTGAGCACCTACTGTGCGCCAGGAACTGCTCTGGCCATCGGGATACATCTGGTGATTCCAGCTGGCCCCCAAGAAGTTAAATGCCAGCGGGCAGGGCCGATGGTACACCTCCCGGGCCCGTGCTCACTGGGGCCGGTGGCCGGTCCTTTTGCGGAGGACTCCCTGCAAGCCTTGCCTTCCTGCCGGGACCCCTTCTGCTCTATTTCTTTGGTATAAAGTCCTCAAAATAGAAGTGCTGAGTTCCAGACTACATCTGTTCCCTCATTCATTCGTTCATTCATTCACTCAACAACTATTCACTGGGTGCCCATTAGATGTCAGGTGCTGGGTCACGACAGGTGGGTCTTTACAGAACTGCATTCTAGTTGGGCCGGGTGGGGCCGGGTAAGACACAGTAAATACCTGAAAGGGACACGGCTCAAGGATGACCTACAAACTATGAGTGGTCTGAGAAAGGATGGGGTTAGTGGGCGTGTAGGGCTCTGTGGCTTAGCACCGGTTTCTAGAATCTGCAGCAGTGAACGGCTATTACAGCTCAGCAACTTTGCCAGCCCTGGGATGCAACACCTCAGAGCCATGTCTGCCAAGAGGGTGAGGGCGGCTCAGGGGGCAGCTCCAGGTCCCAGGATGTGCACTAACTCACCTGGCTGGCACCACCGTCCCCATGCTTGGCTGCTGAGCCCCTGCGCTCTGCTGCTGTGCCGGGAGTGTCTCTTGCTCCTGATGCAGCTTCGAGAAGTGGCCCATAAAGTTGGAGAGATCCTCTGTGTAGGGCTGGTGCATGTCTGCCGAATACTCTATGCCCAACTGGTGTAGGAACTCCTGGTAGGTGATGTGCCCTTTCCCCTCAACGTCATAGCTTCAAAGACAAGCAAATGCAACCGGTCAGCAGTGGGCAGGGTCAGTGCTCAGGCTCTGACCGTGTCTGCGAGGGGCTCGCCTAGCCCCTCACCACTCAGCATGCCCTGTAGACCAGCAGCACTGGCTCTCCGGGGGTCAGAGATGCAGGACCCTGGGCCTCAGGCTGTACCTGATCTGAGCCTGCATTTAACAAGGTCCCAGGTGACTCACATGCACGTCAAGGTTTGAAACCCCCTGCTCATTCCACAAGGAGGCTCACCCCATATTAGGTGGTCTGGGCCCCACCCCAACAGACAGCAACGGAATCTGTTCACCAGTCATGCTGATAGAAAAACAGTTGTGACCACAGGAAATGAAAATCAACCTTTCCATTTATTCAACTGGTTGTGTTTTTTTTTTTTTTTTTGAGCACCTACATGTGAAGGACTATGCTAAGGTTTAGAAGAAAATCCTTCAAAAAGCACGTTCGAGCTTAAAACGCGAATAAGTGAATGCCGCTTGACTCCAATTCCCCATCTGGTCTCTGAAGAGATGCTGGTTACAGCCAACCAACGAGACAGACCAGAAAGGAAAACAAGATAAGAATTACGCTGCATACCTTTTATGTCATTTTCTAATTACTGAAGGTTCTCTGAATGATAATTCGTTAAAAAGGGCATAATAGAGGGTTTTTATCTCCCAACATTATTCAAATAGAATAGAATTACTTCAATAAAAAAGTGTTAAGGCAGATCGCCAATTTTCCTTAAAGAAAAAAACCTACACTTATTTTAACAGCAAGATCTTGGCCCTCATTTTCTGGATAAAATGGTGTTTGCCGGTGGCATTTTTCCCAGATGGAGGCGAAGCTGTAGGGACCAAGATGCTGCTGAAACAATGTTGCAGAAGATGCTGCTGAAACAATGTTGCAGAAGATGCTGAGACAACATTGCAGAAGATGATATTGAAACAATGTTACAGAAGATGCTACTGAAACAATGTCACAGACGATGATGCTGAGACAATGTTACAGAAGATGATATTGAAACAATGTTGCAGGCCTAACTTCCGCAGGCTGTGGAGTGGAAGTGCAGGGGAGGGGCAGGGGCTTTCCTTCACAGAGCAGAGCTTCCCCGCCTTAATCTTATTTCAGTAACATGAAGGAAATGCATTCATTTACCCCACGGACTTTCCTGTGTTTAAGGGGTGGGGTGGTGGTGGAGGCCTACACCTTTGCCTGCTGTACCCCAGCCCTCTGACTACTCAGATCTCCGTAGTCAACCTATGGAAACGGATGGGGAGACTACACTGGCCATGTGTTGGAACTGATCTAAAATAAATAAATAAATAAGGATTTTTGTAAGAATTTCAAGTTGCTTTTCTAAATTAGACACAAAACAGCCCAGCTAATCCTAAACTTGGCCCCCATTTCAGCCTCCACTTTGGAAATATGGGAAGCTAAGAAATGACATGAGCTGCTTGGCAAGCTTGCCTCTGGGATGGACGCCCAGGGCCGTGCCCTGTGCCCAGGGGTGTGGGCAGCGGCCGCCACGTGACGGGGAAGGAAGGAGTTCAGACAGGGATCTGGGGGTGTGTGGAAATAGCCCCAGGTGTTGGACATCTACCCAGAGAACACGGCTGGGGCCGGGTTCAAAAATGGCCACATCTGAAATACATTTTGAGAAATGTAACCAGTGCTCGGTATCATTTTCAGTTTAGGAGACTCTCGGGAAACTGCTCCGAGCTATCAGAAGGTTGCTTGTTTTCTTCCCACAAATTACTTATCTATAAAACCGCCGTCCAACATTGACTTCCACCTGTGAGCAACGGGGGAGGCTGCTGTGGCTGCTGAGTCCTGTGGGAGCGGGGTCTTGGGGAGTGACTTGTTCTCTAACACCTAACAGTCGGGGCCTGCAGTGCTGCTGCTTGGCATTTCCCCGGTTCCCCATGTCCCTGGAGACCAGCCTCCCGCCAGGGCTGCTTGCTGTGGGGGTAGGAGCAAGGACCCGGGGCCCGGGACAGACACGGCCGAGAGAAAACAAAGAAATCCGGAGCAAGGAACCCAAGACCGTCGGGAAGGAAAAAGAGCCCGTCTTCAGCTACCACTTACCGCAGCCAAAGCTTTTCAAACTCGCGCGGCGTGAGCGGGATGTCGAAGCCGTACAGCGCGTTCCGCAAGTCCCGCCGACGGAGAACGCCGGCGCCCGCATTGTCGGTCTCTGTGAAATTCTACAACAGTAGAGGCGACACTTAGGAACAAGGCGAGGGTGACTGTGGCGGTATAAAGGGTTCTCAATGGTCAGTTCCTGGGACGATCTGACCCATTTTCCTCCCTGTCCACCGGTTTAGTCACCTTTGTTTTTGGTTAATTCTCACCTGAGGATATTTTTCCTCTTGATTTTTAGAGAGTGGAAGGGAGGGAAGGAGAGAGGAAGAGAGAGAGAAACATCGATGTGAGAGATACATTGATTGATCGCCTCCCATCTGCACCCTGCGGGGGCTGGCGCACTAACCACCGAGCGACACGGGCAGGGCTGCTCGATCACAGTCGCATCCGAGTCCCAAATACCTCGCCTTCCTCTAAAGCCGCTGACGGAGCAGACGGGAGCAAGCTCTCTGTGCGGCCAGGGTTGGTGTCTGCGCAGTGAGTGGCCTCAGGTGTGTGACCTGGACTCTTGTCCTGCCTGCAGCCGGGTGTCAGGACTCTGAGAATTCAACGCCCGCCCCTCGCCCCCCCCCCAGCCTGGGTCTGAGGCTACAGCCCAGGCCGCTGGAGGTTATTGTCTCAGCGACGCAGCGGCTGCGAGAGGAAACGAGGACACAAGGCTCCAGCCGCCACGACAGGATGATACGGTGCCGTTTTAAAGACCCTGAGGGGTTGACCGGGGACTTGTCAGGCATTTCAGAGGACCACAGACTAAGGGCAGACACAGGGCACTCACCAGCACCCTGAACTGTTTCCAAGAAACAGCCGTTTAGCCCTCTCATCACAACACCGTGCGGCAGATGCGACGGTCCCTCTACAGAGTCCGAAGAGAGCACTCAGGGTGGAAGGTCCAGGCCCCCACTAAGGTCAGGACAAGGCGGGGACACCCCCACCGCCCTCTGCTCATCACTGCATGGGGCTCGGTGCGGGTAAGCGAGAAAGAGGAACAAAAGGTCCTGGCTGGGACAGGGGACAGTGCCAGCGTCGTTATTGACGGGTGAGTTGACTGTACACACAGGAATATAAAAATCCACAAAGGAAGTATTACAATAAGAGAAAATAGCAAGAAATCTGGACTCTGTATCAACAGGCAAAACCATCCACGTCTTCATGTATCAGACACAGAAAATGAATTTTTAAAAATAGCATTTGCAAACAGCATCAATAGAAAGTCCTAGGAATGAATCTTTATAAATGACTGCAGGACTTCTACACAAGAGGGTCTAAAGCTTTACTGGAAGGCTCTAAAGCAGATCAAAACGAGTGGGAACGCTCGGCGTCCGTGAATAGGCGCCTCCAAACAGTAAAGATGCCATTTCCCTCCGAACACCCAGGAGGTATGTTTTC